AGATTGATAATAGGGAGTTAATGGAGTAATTCAGGATCTGAACATCTGTTAGAGTTAAGGCCAACCTATGTAAGAGTCAGATAGTGTTTGTAGAAGCAGAGCCTGTGCTATTTATGCAGTGTGTCATAGACTGCTAGATAAGCAAGACAATCTTGGTTGTCACTGGAGTTACATTTGTTGACATTTTAAATGTTGAATAATAAAATCTATAATGGAATTATTGGATACAGCCCTCGATCCTTTTTAAACTTCATTATGCGTAATAAGGGAGCTTGTGAGAGGGAAAGGTTCTGTAGGATTTTGGAGACTTCTGTAAAATACTTACTGGAGTTTTGAAACTAACTTAAAGATGTTCTGAGCAGAGAATTCAAGCAAATTAGAAGATATGCAGCAAAGATCGAGAGTCTCCTACAGAGTTGTTAATTACTGAATGCAGATTATTTAGGATTTCAGCTATATTGTAAAATATTTTCATTCCAATTAGTTGTTGGGAAAGAAGTGAATAATTTGTTCACTACAAAAATGTTTTTTAGTCCCTGATTTTTCAAAAGCCTCCAGAGAAGCTGTATAGCATAGAATACTTTGATTCTATTGATTGATTTGCTTTGAGCTATAGCTGAGTGAGGTCTGAATTTGAGGGACTTTGCCCCAGTTTGCTTGGATTTCTGCCAATTATTATGAGTAAGTATGACGATGAAACCCTTGCTTTCTAGTACATTACTGTAATGTGAGTCTCTCTGATAATACTTGGGGATCTTGGATGTCTAAGGGAAGTATAAAGCCAAAATAAGATACTACATAATAAAGCAGACTAAGTGTTTTTGCTTGAAGGCTACAGGGTCTCCCAATGATTTATACCGTACATACGTATTCTGCTTGGTCCAAAAAGACCCCAGAAAACCTATGAAAATCCATGGCTAGATTGTTGTCTGGGAGATGGTGAGCAATTCCCTTTCTGATGTACCAGGTTGTTGTTACTGTTGTGTCCAGCAGAACTCTGCTTGTAGCTGCTCGTCCCCCTAGCAAATGATCAGACTAGATTCTCTGGGAATAGGTAGCAGCTTTGCACAGTAGATGTTCAAGGACAGTGACTACAGACCCACAGATTTCCTGGCCAACAGAAGAAAAAAAGATTTTATGAAAGGCTGGAGGTGAATGAAAGGAGTTGTCACTTGTTTTCCATGTTTCATCTTAAATAGAGGTTTGATAGATTAAAGTTGTTTCTAAATGACCATCTGACTAGATTCAGTATCACAGCTTTCCTGGATGTTTTTCCCAGATGATTTCTTTAAGGTCCCTTCCAACCCAAACCATTCCATGATTCTATGATTTTTCCAGTGGTACTGGTGCAGAGACAGTCCATGTGAATAAACTTGAAGCAATGTGTAAGTTTCAGATACTGCTACATCTTGCCTTCATCTCTTCCCTTTAGAGATAATTGAGATCTGATTTTACAGAGTACACTAGGATTTGTCAGCAAGCTCACTCTGTCTGTCTTGCAGTGGCTTATTTTGTTTGAAATACTTTCAAATACATTCATATGATTTAGTTGCAGAGAGTTACTGGCTGGAATTCAAGTATCACAGGAGACAGGTGGTTAGTTATGAAGCCTGGGAAAGGTGACTGTTATGTGAGACAACAACTTCGAGGTAAAGGGAATGGATTCACTGATTGTAGCACTGGATTGAGGAATAGGAGGTCAGTTCCTGGTTCCTCTCAGTTCATTGTACTACTCAGGTGCCTCATTGTGAAACAGAGTTGTAGTTGCCTGGTTTTACTGATAAATTCTTTAGAGCAGTAACCTCTAAAGTGACTGAAATGTCTTAAGAGACATTAATAATAATAACAATAGCTCAGTAGGTATTAGTTAGTTGAACTTAAATTCTCACTTCAATAAAGATTTAATCTCCTGTTGATTCTGTACCTTAGGGGCTTAGCTACAAGACGTGCTGTTTTGGTCTTCCTATATCAAGGCATTTGTTTCTGACTTCAGGAAGTATAGTTTATCCTGACTGTAACTAGTTAAAATAGATCCATATTTTTTCCTTTCAGTGAAAATGCATTCTTTTTGACACCAGAGCTCACTCCTCGGAAACTCAGAGGTTTGCCTTTTGAAAAAGCAGCTGGATGCCATTATCACGGACTTGAGTAAGTTTCCTGGCTTCTTTTCCCAGAATTATTTTTCAGCTTCCAGTCAAGGTATAATTAGAAACATTTCAAGCAACATGATCATTAATTATGCAAAACTTTATGTATCCTTTTCCTTCATTGGAACAACTTTGCAAATGCCACCTTTCCCTTTCTTACCTTTATTGTATTCACTGGTTTAAATTGTGACACTCCTGCCTTGATGGTAATGCAAAAACATTTAGGTTTGGGTTTTTTTCTTAGTTTTACTGCTGTAGCTCTTCTCAGTGTCTCTGAAAAATTTAATTTCGAATTGGAAGTGGCAAGGGGAAGAGGGTTCATTAATACATATCAGGTCTCTGGAGCAGCATATGAATGAACTACATACATAGAATCATAGAATGGTTTGGGTTGGAAGGAACCTTAAAGCTCATCCAGTTCCAACCCCCCTGCCATCAGCAGGGACACCTTCCACTAGACCACATTGCTCAAAGCCTCATCCAGCCTGGCCTTAAACACTTCCAGGGAGGGGGCATCCACAACTTCCTTGGGCAACCTGTTCCAGTGTCTGACCACCCTCACAGTGAAGAACTTCTTCCTAATATCCAATCTAAACCTACCCTCTTTCAGCTTAAACCCATTTCCCCTTGTTTTGTCATTAACTGCCCTTATGGAAAGTCCCTCCCCAGCTTTCTTGTAGCCCCTTCAGGTATTGGAAGGCCGCTATAAGATCTCCCCAGAGCCTTCTCTTCTCCAGGCTGAACAGCCCCGACTCTTTCAGTTTCTACTTTGATATTAAATTGTTGACACCTTCAGACTAATAGTCACGAGGTTTATGGCACCTGCTGTGAAACTACCTGTATATTCAGGGAACCTGAAAACACCACCAGCAGGCAAGCATTAGTGGTAAGAATCTTCAAAGGGATCAATATAGTTAGGACTGTTTTAGTCCCAGACAGACAGTGTTAGCTATTTGTCAAAGTTCCCGATGGGGAAACATCCTATCAGGTAGCTGTATAAAAAATGTTTAGGAAAATATAAATATTGTCATTGAGGAGAAGAGGAAAAGGACATACACAAACGTTGGAGCAGATAATTCAGAGTAACTCTTCCATGTGGACAGACTCGATGCAGTATATGTTAAGAAATGCAGTGGATAGGCAGTTTGGTTTTCATGCAAATTACTGCCATCTCCTAAAATCTCATTTTCAGATTATCAGAATGTGACTAATGATGCTGCTGGTATTTTTTTCCTATCGACTGCAGAAATAGTTTGGTTAAGCTTATGTGTAATACCTGGTAACTATCTGTTTCTTCTCTTTTTCTAAGTGGTAACTCATGAGCCTGTTAGCCTTTTTAGATTTGTAACAAAAGGCACAGAGAAGCAACTGGGTAGATAGGAGAAATCCAGATTTGTCCTCCCAGGTGTGGGAGGAAAGCACTTGGCCATTTGCCTGTTGGTATGTGGTAGCTTGCTGACCTGCCTGACCTCAGCAGGAGTGTGCATGAGGATTCAAATTAGGCACAGCCCAGCTTTATGCTGCCTCTTCTCATAGCAAAGTATGGCAGGTAGAGACCACAGAGAGGCCTGGATATTGTGGAGAGGAGGGAGACCCTGTCCTATTAATGTTACAAGGGGAACATGCCAGCAGTGAGGGAGGGAAGCAGTAGAGTGAGACGGTAGAAACTAGCGTGAAAAGGAGGAACCTAGAGCTGTACGACCAGAATATGTTGTAGCAAAAGTATCACATGGTCTTTTGGAGCAGATGTGTTTTGTACCATGCAGTTGTGATTGCAATTTCCATCTGCAGAGCTGCTGTATTTATATTTGGAAGTAAAGTCTTGTCAACAAAACCAGGAGTAGCAGTTATGATTAAAACAAATTTCTGGTGTAATGAACCTGTGCCAAACACTTGGATCCCGTGTTGCAAAGAGAAAGTAATTGCTGTTAAAGCAGAGTGAGCAAAATGGCAATTTACCTGCTAACGATAAAAACATTTTTATCTTTGTAGGTGATGTGATTTCTCAGGGGACTGGGAATATAAATAAGGAAAATTAAATTTAAATTTGTATGTTAAGAGAACTTACTCTTATCAGATAATGAATTTATTTCTTGTGGAAAGTCTTTACTCAGCTGCAGAAATGGATTCAGTGGTCTGCTATTAGAAAAGTTAATTTCTCCCTGAATATGAAAATACTCTGAAGAAAGTGGAAAAATCAGATCTAGCAATTTAATGTAACTCTGTTAAGAGAAAAAAGTAAAGAATATGTCTAGGGTTCCTAAGAGTAGGAAACTTTACTAACTAGTTTGTAGTTGAGCTGAGAAATAGCCCATGTTGTTCAGAATGCTTGTTAAGAAAAAGATGGAATCATATTGTTTAATACTGTTGTCTTTCCCTGCAGTATAGGTAATGTAAGTCACTGGGCGATGAAATGCTTCTCTTTTGCAAGGAATCTGTGAAATCATTTACACAAGAGAAGAGTTAATGAAGATGCATTTTGTGTTGTTGTAATCTCATGAGTATGTTTCATTGAGTTAGCACTGTCCATTTCTTCTCTTCCTGCTCCGCCATATTTAATAGAGTTTCTTCTTTTGATTTGGTTGATTAAACCACTTATTCTTTGTCATCAACAGGGACCTGGGAAACTTGTGTTTGTCCAGTAACACTTTTGTATTTTTAGCATTTAAAAAATGGGACCCTCTCATGTAGCAGTGCTCACCTTGGACAAAAGCTAAAGGCTGCATTTCCAAAGAGTACAGTTAGCAAAGAATCTATACTAAATAGCATTTAAAACACTTGCCATGCCCCATCTTTCTCATACTTAAACTCAATTAATACAGTCTCCCAGCAACCTAGTTTTTGGCACAACCTGGCTCTTCCTAAAATTATGTCAGCGTCGTTGCATTCTGGGATTCCTGAAGTACTTGTAACTTGCAAATCATGTATATGGTACTTTGGGATGTTTTCTTCAGGCATTTCCTATGTGATTCTCTTAATGACATATGCACTGAAGAAATCTTGGGTTTGTTGGTTGCTTTGGTTTTATTGACTGGGAAAGTTTCGTTCTCACAGGAAGAAGCAGAGGTGTATTGTATAATTATATTATCATATTAGACTGTATCGTTTTATATATAATAACCTGATGTTTTCTGTGTCTCAAAGTTTGGATGGATGCTTGCAAGGTCTGAGGTCTGAAGATACTGTATCCATTATGGTGTGCTGGGTTCATCATGTATTTGGGCTCATTGCTGTTTTATTGGAATTTCACACTGGTTAGCATGTTAACAGGGGTAACATCTGCTAAGTATGGACTGACAATGAAAAAATAGTAAAATCTAAAATATACTGATGATACAAATGTAACATAGAGCTGACTATAAGGAGCAAAGAATCCATTGTCAGCATCCTAATCCACCACTTATTGTTCAAGGAAAAATTCTGCTAATGTCCATGGAAATCTTATTTGTAAGACCACAGGGTAAAGACTTACAAATAGTATGATTCATCTTCTTTGTTGGAGTTAGACTTAAATATAGCTAAATCCATCAGGCATGTGTTAATTTACTGGGCTGTTTTAAGGTATCTTTCAGAACAATGCACCAGTCCAAACAAAAAAAGTTTTGGAGATTATATAATAGTCAAAAGTAAGTTGTTCTGGTTTTTTTCTTATTGTAATAAAGCAGAGACTTTGTCTCACAGATTTCTTGCAAATTCCACTTTTAGGTATTGTCTAGATAACAGAAGAGCCTTAGAGAGAGATGTGGGATATGCTGAACTTCAAACTCGTCTTATTCGCTATGAAACTCAGACTACTTGCACCAAAGAGTGCTGCCCTGTGCCAGTTGGCTTGAGCCCTCTCCCATCTCCCGCAGTCTTGTCAGAGCCTGGAAGTGTCCCTGATGGAGAGTCTTTACAAAGTGAATTCAAAACAGAGGCATCAAGGCTAAAGCGCAGATCAAAAGACTTGGATTCCTTTTATCCCAATAAAAGGTAATGCACTGAGTAAAATAAATCTTTAGCATGAAGTATTTCAGTAGTCTCTTGTGAAATGCATCTTTTCTTTCATCTCAAAATGTTTTAGTGAAGCTATCTAGACAAATGTTCTAGTTGTTTAATCCTTCACTGTATGTTCATTTCTCTCCCTCAAGTGTGACCTGTCATTGATAGCATTAGATTAATCAAAACCATGCAGCGCAGGCACCTTTTATTTAAGAGATTTGGGGTTGTATCTTGCAAAGTCTCAAGTGCCTTTGAAAAGATGACAGATAGCCTCATCTAGGACCAAAACTGTCAGTGCTGTTGCAGTAAAGCTTTAGAAAGCCAGGCACTGTACAAACAGAATAATTGAATTGCTAATCCAAAGAACTGCTGGTGTAAGATGACCTACCAAAATTCAAACTTTTTGTCAGCCTTGTTTATTAAAGTCTTTTCTGGAAGTCTAGTCTTTAAGACTTTCCTTTGTACCTCGTCCTCACTCTGAAGTTGCAAACTCTTTGTGTCAGTAAAAAATAACTGCTATATAGCACTACTTCTGAATTCACTTTTTATTGTAATACTTCACATCTTCCTTCTTTCCAGTCTTAACTTGCAATCACAGTAAGCCTTTAACAGAGGTACGGTTTTAGGAATAACCATTTCTTTTGTAGCTTACTGAATAATTAGAAAACAAGATGGGAGTTTCAGAATTACTAATGCTCTTAGAGTGGAAGGATCAAGCATTACAATTCAAGAAGTTTTGTCTTATCCTGACACTGGAGACCAGCAAATCAGCTCTTCCTGGCTCTCTAGGTGAAGGGTCCATATGCAAATCTACCCCTTCTTCCAAAGAATTTATCTTCTTAGTTTTCTTGTTTCTAGACTTTTTTTAATCTGAGGTGCAATGGATCTACATATCAGAGACCAAATCAGTCAGTAAAGTGTGACATAAACAAAGTTAGTTACATAATAGAATCCTGTCTGCTGTTTTCAGATGCTGTTTGCAAGAATGTAGAGTACTTGGCATCCTTGGCAGCAGCCTCTAGAGCAGAAACAAAGGCACTGGAAGAGTCATTTTCTAAAAGTTCATTTTATCATTTTTATTTTCTTTCCAGGCTAACCAAATCTGAGAGTACAGATTCTCTCCTCTCTCAGGCAAGCAGCAGTAGTGGGAGTCACTATCCGGTTGCCGTAACGAGGAAGCGCTCTGAGCGATCACTTTCTTTAGCTTCAGTGCCATTGAAGCAGCCTGGTCAGCCAGGCCAAGTAACCACTACGGGCGGCTCAGCGAGTCGCGTAAGTGCCGCTGAATCTGAGACTTCAAAGCCAGCTAAGGAATCGAGATCTCAGAAGCATACAAGGGTAAAGGTTTATGCTGTTTGCATCTGCTTAACTGCTTTCCATGTGACTTGATTTTTTACAAATTATTTTAACTCGGCGTGAACTGTCTTCATTTCTATTTGTTATCACTAAATTTCATTCTTTTCACTTGTGTAAGTGAACCCTGAAGGCACGGAGCAGACTGCTGCGGAAGCAAGGAGTAAAAACATATGTAAGGAGTATTATATCATGCTCAGGGAATTAAGGCTGAGAGAGATAACAACTAGGAATAAAAAAGTGGGAATGGATATCAGTTAATAGAGTTATGAATGTAGCAAATTAATATAAAACCTAAAGGCACCAAAGAAATATCTGTGCTGGAAGGGTCAAAGCCATTGTGAAAAAACCAGACTATTCTGAGAACAAAGAACTATTCCAATAGCTGTACAAGTCCATTAATTGAGATAACATTTAAACATTTTGATGCAATAATGTTTAATTAATAGCTGTGTATATTAGGAATGCCAGTTTTCAAATACAGTAAACAAAACTGTTTCTGGCTTGGTGATACTAATTTTAAATTAATTCCAGGATGCTAGAGTGGACATGGCGTGAATGTTGAAGTTGTACTTAGGTTGCCCAAGGAAGCTGTGGATGCCCCCTCCCTGGAAGTGTTTAAGGCCAGGCTGGATGAGGCTTTGAGCAACCTGGTCTAGTGGAAGGTGTCTCTGCTGATGGCAGGGGGGTTGGAACTGGATGATCTTTAAGGTCCCTTCCAACCCAAACCATTCTATGATTCTATGATTCTACTGTCAAAAGCAAGTTGGGATGACCCAAGAAAGCGTAAATTGGTGTGACTTATTCAGACCTACACCGAAGTTTAAACATCTCTGATATAAAGAATATCAGAGAAAATTTTCTTATCTGACTGTAGTGTCTGATTTTTTTTTTTTTGTAATTATTTTTTTAATATGGGTTTGTCAAACAGGAATATCAATATAAAGAGAAGTCATATGTATGTATATAGTGTTTTGGAGAAGACCCAAGCCATTATCATTTTTTTTCTGTCTTCCAAGCCCAGTGTGAATATTCACTGATTCTTTACACAGATGAAGGAAATGGAAATAGATTGTTAAATAACTGTCCAAAATTGGTCAGTGTGTTGATGGCATTTGGCCAATGAATTAAAGACAGAGGCAACACCAATTCTGTTTCTTGTTCTTGTTTTTTTTTTTTTTTTTTTGTTCCCCAGGGACAATTTTTCATGCCAATAATTGGGGTGAACTTTTAATTGTGTTTCTTTTGTTTCCAAGATGCTGAAGGAGGTGGTTGCTAAGACTCTTCAAAAACATGGAATTGCAGAGGATCACAGCTGCTTTGCATCATGCAGCCAGCGTCTATTTGAGATATCAAAGTTCTACTTAAAGGTAGCTAGAAGACATGCTCTTACAGTTGTTTGTTCTTAGTTACGCGAGTCCATTCCTGAATATAACTTGAGGTGGACCGTGGGATATTCAGACTTGATTAAGCTAATATTTCCTAGTGGTGTGTTAATAGTGTGCAGAGTGTGTGGATAAACCTTTAGACGTGTCAAATGCAGAAGCTGATTTCACAGTATATTTTGCTGTTGTTTATTTGGTTTTAAACCTTATAAAGCAGTAGGCTTTTATGTGAGACAACATGTTAAAGCAGTGGTCCAGTGGTCTGTTAGGTCAGGTCATGCTTATACTGTATTGCTTTCTTAGCTGTTGTAGCTGTCTCCCAGCCATAGCTGTGGCAGCCCAGCTTCTCCCTTGTTCTCAGGCTATCGGCTCAATAGGTGACTTACACAACTGACTCAGAAATTCTAGTTCCCTGACATGCTCGCAGAACTCCTGTAAATGTGCACAGCTATCTTAACACATACTGACTTGGCAGCACTGCGTAGAATTGCATCACCCTCATGTTTAGGAGGACATGAAAATTCTTTCTGCAATACCTGAGAGACTCTGTGAGTCAGCGCTTGAGCCCATATTACTTAATCTGGGCACAAAATTGAGTTAAATTCCAGTACAGGCTGTTTAAAAGCTCTTGCTCACAAGCTGAGCTGCTGTGTCTGTTCATTTGCATGTATTTAGCCTACCTTTATTTGTGAAATAACTTGGTTTAGTCAACTTCAGTACAGGTGATTTAAGCTAAATGAAGTTGCAATTGAAGAGGGCTGAATGCTTACACAGACAGTTAGAACGTCTTGCTGATGAGCACCAACTTCTTAAATAATTAGAACACAGTTGCGCAGTCATTCTGTAAGCGTTCCCAAAATCTGCCTTAAAATAAGCCCTGAAGGAAGAACTTCTAACCCAAAATCAGAAAGAGCTTTCTACAGGGATCAGTGAGTAGGGCAAATCAGATGGGTTCACAGTTCCATTACAAGGAGAAGAGCGAAAGGAAGGTTAGCACAGTGATCCTGTCCTTTGGAAAGCTGATCCAGAGAGAGGTGTAGCAGGATTTTGTTCTCCTGAACTGTCTTGCAACCCCAAGTCTGCAAGGTCCATGTCCTCTTCTCTGTTCTTTTCCAGAACTCTACTGCAGTCTAAGCACACAGTTGATTTCCGTGTTTATATAGAAATAAGATTTTAATCAAGACTGTAAGAACTTTGAATGGAATTAAAAAACAAACCAACAAAAAAAAACCAACAGCCATTTCTGGAAGTGTGCAGAAGGTTAGAGAAGGTTAGGAAAAGTGTGACTTAATTGTACACTTGATTCCTAGCCTTGGACTGCTGCAAAGAACGCTGCCACCAGCTGGAATAGACTTAGATTTAAAAAAAAAAAAAAAAAGTAAAATAATTCTTCTGTGGTTCTGAACAAGGTGATAAAAGGGTAACACCTCCCTTAGTTATCAGGGCTCTTATAATCCAAATTAGAGTGAGTATATGGTCTTGCTAATTTCTGTGGCTTTGTGTTTCATATTTAGGATCTTAAAACTTCTAGAGGACTTCTTGATGAAATGAAGAAAACGGCGAATAACAATGCTAAACAGGTAAGACCATTTGTTTATTTGTTCCTGTAACTAGCCAAGGCTGAATGCAGCTGTGGCAGCTTGGCTGTAGGCTGGTTTAGTGCAACCTTTCTCTTCATCGTAATCCCACAGCAAAATTTCCAGTGGCATATTTTCAGGTTTTAGATGGTATTCTAGTTCTAGCTGCCAATATGCTGTGCCACAGTGAGAAATGGAAATGAAGGCAATAAATGTTTCCACATCACTGGAAAAAAAAGAGATGAGATTTTTCTTCATTTGAGAGAGGCCTGGATCATTAGGGAATTCTTCCCTGCTTGTGTTGAAGGAAATAACATCTCTTTTCAAAGGCTAGGAAGCAATAAAGAAATCTATAAAAGGAAATAAATTTCTTAAAAGAAGCAATGAAAATTAGTAATTTTAAGCTCGGGAATAACTGTAAGCACAAGGGATATCAGATGAGCTTATTTGTGCGTAAGGTGGGACTTAGGTGAACAGTAGCACAGAGCAAATGGCAGGACTAAATACTCCTGTGCTCCAGAAATTAAGCAACTCTCTGATTTAAATTCTGAAAAACATGCTGAAGTGACTTCATGAATTAAAACAAAAAAAAAGTATCATGCATATTTACAGTACAGTTCTCAAAACCTTAAATGGAATGGAAGGATTTGGACTGGGGTAGTTAAATAAGAAAACCCAAACTCTTAAGGGAAACTGCGAGATCCCCACAAAATTTATTCTATGAGAGCTGTATTTATTGTGTTCTATACTGTGTTCCCTTGTGAACTGCTTCCTACAGATCATAAGGTTTCAAAAAGTTGAACTGGGATATTGTGCCAATGCTGTTTCCCACCACTAGCTTTGTCTGGGGAGACCAATTGGTAATTTTATGTTTGCTGTTGGCAAGAGAGGCGTTACAATTGGGGATCTCTGAAGCTGGACACATCTCCCTGTATTAGAGAATACTTTGAAACTACCTTAATTTAAAAAAAAAAAAAAAGTGTGTGTATATCTATATCTAATATCTATATCTATAGTTGCCCAGGACTGGTCAGTGGCCTGAAAAACTACCCTGTTTGGGAAACAGCAGTAGTAATAGTGGCAGATATAGCAATGTACAAATTATTCTTTATCCTTTCCAGCTCTAGGAATTGTTTGTGCTGGAAGCATTAGCTGTTCAGCATTGTGTGTGCACCCTGTTGATAGTACATGGAGAGAGCGGGGTGAGCTAGCTCAATTCAGGGGATCTAAAAATGCAGTTTTTAAAGACAAGGCATCCTGTAAAATTAAATACAGATCTTGATTAACGCTGTGTCTCCTTTGAATGGATTACTTTTAAATCCTGTTTAGTAAACACTACACAGGTGGTGATAAAAAAAGAAGTGGTAAATGTGATCTTATGTCGCTATCAAGAACTGGAGTTATGTAAATCATTTGTTTTCTCATTTATTTTCCCAGGTGATTGAATGGGTTTTGGAGAAGTCTGGCAAGTAGAGGTGCTGAATGACTGCTATTCACACCTTCCCAGAAACTGGGAGAGAGAGCACTTCAGATTGTAAGAAAAACATTTTATTGCCTAACACAGGCACACACATCTCTACACACTGGAAGGACTTTGATCAGTGTAATTATGGAGACTCAATTCTCAAGCACAGTAGCATGTTTTGAAACTTTTTATAATGAAAGTTTTAATTTAAAAAAAAAATCAGATTAAAAAAGGTTTTATTTTATATGCGTATTTATTATGTTCCGTTGTTAAAAGGAATGTAGCTTGACTTGGTTTGATAAAGCTTTGTATGTTTTTCAACCCTTATTTTTGTTTTTTATGTGAATAAAAAACTCACCAGATTTAATTTTAATATCAAAACTACTTTGTTTTACCTTTTCTTGTGAAGACCTCTATTCTGTTTATTACTACTTGCTGTTCTATAAGCAGCTGTTTACAGTGTCGACCGTTGACATTTTGTAGAATAATTAGGAATTATTCACCTATTCTGCAGGTGAAAGCAAACATAATTAGAATTTGAATTACAATTATCTCCATGTTGTAGTATAAGGAAACAAAAAAAAGCATCTTTTGAAACTTGATGCAAGGTCCCAGTAAAGAAAGGATCGTTTTTTTACAAACTGAATTTCTGGTATAATTTCATGTGTACTCTTCATAACACTCCTTAGAAACAATTCATAACAGTTCTGAGATTTCTTTTCATGGAGAAAATCAAAATGATAGCAGTAATGATGAGTGTGAGAGCTGTGAAAGAGCTGGCATGCTATGATGAAATGTAATGGAAAGAATTTCTGCCTGAGTTGCAAGCACAGAAAAATACCTTGGCCTTGGTTTGCTTAAGTCTCAGGCATCTGCCTGGCTTGTACTAGTGTAATTATTCAAGTTAGTATTACGTTGAGGAGTTCCTACCAAAACAAATATATTTACAGCTTTTCAGTGTAAGGATTTCCTGTTCATCATATAAACTAACATGATTAAAATGGATAGAGATGTAGTGTTATTGTTTGCTATAGTCTCCTGAAAGGAAAATGGATTAAGCAGTGCTAATTATAAACAAAATTTAATATTGCGAAGAAGTAATTGAACTAAACCATGTTTAGGCTGGACTTAATACTATAAAATCGTTTCATTCTCTAAAGAGCCTTCCTGATTTTGTGACACTATTCTTTGCTTAATTCTATTTTGTGTAAAGCCAAGCCCTAAGGAGGTTCTTAGTGTCAAGCAGGATCTTGCATTTAACTCTTGGGTTCCTTTGTTCCAGTGTGTATTGTTCTCCTGAACTTTACAAGACCTTTTATACGTGGGTGTGTATTTAGGTTTTACCCGCCCTGTGAGCAGCAGGAGGAATCACAGAATCACAGAATGTTGG